TATTAAAATATATATATAATTTATATATTATATATTTCATTATATACTATATTATATATATATATATATGTGATCTCTTGTCTGACCATGTATCCATGGTATAAATCATGTAATTTCTGGCACTCCCCTTAATATATAAAGGATTAAATATGTGACAAGTATGAAACAAAGGATATGCAAGATGTTATAAAATATGTGTTGCAAATTTATTATATGCAGCAACAAATGCTGATCGAAAAATATTATAAAAATCTTCTGAATTAAAATAAAATTGTGCAATAAGATCATCCAGATCAGTTTCAAAATTTTGCACAATAATATTTTCTTTTATGAATGATGAAAATTGTTCAAGATACTCTTCAATAAATGAAAAAATTGGCTTATTTTGTTGCTAAAAAAAATTTAAGTCGTAAATAAATTCTTGCATATAAATTGATATAAAATTAATATAAATAATAATCATATTCTTTTTTGATTATTTTGTAAAATTTTATTAATTTGAGCAATTAAATCATGGCTTGAATCTTTTTTATATTCTCTACAAAAAAAAGAATTCAAATACCCAATATGATTTTAGTATAAAATATTATTTTAAACTATGAATTTGATCTAGTCTTATTAGATAATAAAATTTTACACAGATTTTCAATTTTATGCATTCTTAGATGATTTAGATAACAACTTTTATGTGCAGGTAAATTGACAAATGCTTCTTTAATTTTTAATAAAAAAACTTTTAAAATATTAAATTCTGGATATATACACCAAGTATCACTAATAATAAATAATTAAATAAGATAAAACTTTATAAAAATATATATTTAAACTTATATTTATCTAATTAAATTAATAATATATGCACAACAAGGCACATGGGCCAACTGCAGCATTACTGGTTTTAATATTTTACAGTAACATTTTTTCATATAAGCCACAAAATCAGATAAAAATAATTTTGATAAAGTATATAAAATATTAATTTAACCAAAATTATTAATAAAAGTTTACTGATTGTTAAATTATTTATGCAATTTAAAAAATCAACTGAAACCACTTTTATATCTTGACAAAAAGCAAAAAGGGTATTTACAATACTATATGAACAATCATCTATAGTTTTATCTATTATAATTGCAATAGGTTTTTGATCAAAAAGGTTTTTAAGTAAAGAAAAATAATTGTCAAAAACTTGAGATAAATATAGCTGATGAAGTGTAGAAGCTTGAAGAATAGCTCCACTTTCTTTAAGATGTTTTTTAAAAAAAGGAAGTAAGCTATTAATCTTTTCAAGAAGAATATTGGCAGAGAAAAATGCTTTAATTAAATCTTTTATAACTTCTCTTTTTGATTTAGATACAATTTGTATTGTAGCAAGTATAACTTGTTTTTTAGATTGTTCTTTACTTTCGTAAGCTTGTTTATTTTTAATATATGCTTTTAAGTTATAATACTTGTCAATAGTGGGCTTCATTTTCCATTCAATTGAGTGATTACAATAATTACAAAATATAATTTTTTTATCTTCTCTAAAAACACCAGGATATTCTTTTAAACAGGTATCTATAGAAGCTTTTTTTTTGTCATGTTGCTATTGTAATAATTATTTTTAAAAAAAATTATATTGCAAGTTTATATTTATTTAAATC